CCCTTCAGGTTAAGACTCGTTGGATATAGCAATGCAGAATAGGAAGTGACAGAATAGGAAACTCGCGATTGAGCGATAGGGTTGTCAGGTCGGAAAACATATCGGGAAACGGAAGATAGACCCCTGGGAAAGCAGGTCAGGCGGTCTAGTAGGGCGAGTTAATAAACCTGCTAACTCCCAGATCGGCGATTTCGTTGGTGACGGACCGTCAAGACGAACGCTTTTATTTGGATATTAGAATCCATGGATCTTCTTTTAGAGCTTAAATGGATTCTGGTGCGACCAAAACCAGAATATTAGGGTGAATTCTGTTTCTAATTTTTTGAGAGTGGCTCTCGCGGATGGATGTCATATCTCGGTGTTGGTTCAGTTTTATTGCCAATAGAGGTGGAGAGCAAGTCGGTTCCCCTGGAATGCCTCGTTGCGAAGTTCTTGGCATCGATTTTTGGGCCAAAGCGGGTATTATCCCGGATTAATCGATGATTAGGTGGTCGTTTTCTCGGCCGGAACTAGAACCATTGGTGGCAACAGTGGACCACTCCTAGTTAGGCGATAGAGAGTCTAGGGCATAAGGCCAACTAATAGCTGGAGCGTTCCAGGGTACACCGGAAGGGCTAGACCGGACCCATTTGGTCGAGCACAAGATCAGGATAAAAGCAGTAGTTGAACTTGTAAAACAGAGGTATTACTCTGTGAGTCCCGTCATAGAGTCGTCTATGGACGAAAAGATTAAGGATACGTTCGACAAAGGGGTGATAGAGAAATCAGATAGTCCCTGGGCGTCTCTAGTAGTTATGATCAGGAAGAAAGACGGTATTTTCAGGTTTTGTGTAGACTATAGGGGTTTGAATAAATGTTTTGTAATTCCGGTGGAAGAGCAGTCGAGGTCTTTCACAGCGTTTACGGTACCAGGTAGAGGACTATTTCAGTTTAAGATGATGCCACGCCAGATGATGCCTTGAACAAAGGCGAGCGAAATTCTTCGACGACCGAAAATAAGTGCCTAGCGGTTCTGTAGGTGGTTTAGAGACTGCGGCCATATGTTCAGATTGCTAGGTTTACGGTCGTCACTGATAATTACTTATTTATTTGGTTAAATAAGTTGAAGTATCCGTGTGGTGGGTTAGCGAGATAGGCTTTGAAGCTCCAGCAATATGATTTTGATATTGTACATCGGGTGATTCAGTTAGTCGAGAAAAAACCTCTGTCGTATCCAGCGTGAAAATTAGAAGACCTCTACAGAGTGGAAAAGAGTATTTTAGGCGTGATGGTAGAAATGAGATTTTAGAATAATGTCACGACAATCCGTTAGCAGGCCACATGGGTATGGTGGCGTTTCACAGAAGTTCTACCGGCCAAAGATGAAGTAGGACATTGCGAAGTATGTTAGAGCGAGCAAAACTTATCAGCAGGTGAAACCTGAAAATTCACAGCCAGTTGGGGGTATGATAGAGAGGACCAAGGCAGTCGAGTAGACTATTTCTCCAAATTTCCCTTCCTATTTCCTTTGCGTACTACCACGGCTAAAAGCGTATGCAAACAATTGGAGGACAATGTGTTTCTTTTGTTTGGAGTTTCTCGGTCGAATGTATGTCACAATGGGCCTCAAATTAGGAGTCGAGAGCTTCGCCGCTTCTGCGGTGAGCTTGGCGCCCAACTCGGGGACCCCGCACACTATCACCCACAGGCTAGTCCGGCCGAGAGAATTAATTAGATTATTAGAACAACACTTAGAGCTTATATATCAGAGAACCAGAGGATATGGGACCAACAGTTAGCGAAAGTAGCATGCCGCATTGCGCCATATTTTGTGAGTTTCGGTGGGGAAATGGTGCTAGAAGTCAGTAGGGACTTCATAGAAAGTTTAGGAGATCAGGAGAAATTAAATTGTCAGGAGCGAGCAAAGAGGCTCGGTGAGATACGAGCAAATAATAGAATTAGATTAGAGCAGGCGAGCGAGCTTGGGAAGCAGTACAAGTTGGACATACACACTGAACAAGTCCACAAGGACTTGAGGGGAAGTAAGGGGATGCCGGTTGTCGAGCGGCCCACAGTTTAAATAAACGGCACTTTTTTCTTCAATCGGATTGAGTTCACAATAGGTTTTATTAAAATTCGACTTTAATGTAATTTCACAACTTGTACCTTAACTAAAACTATTGGTGGCAAATTATTAAATGTATAAACTATAAAGAGACCGCGGTTCACAGCTGCCGTGCGCGAGCGAGGACTGTTGATTTTAGAGTGAGTTTTCGTTAGCTCGAACGGCCGCCGCTAAGCGGTCGGGTGATGGGGCACACAGAAATAGTGGGAAAGACGGGCGATTCCACGCGCACGGCAGTTACATTTATTTTTTATTTATGGTGGTTTAAGCCTATTAGTATACGCTTAAACATACTCCCCGCCCTGCAGTGATGCGTTGTCCAACGCATTCTGTAGCGTTTGTAGGGCCCAGATCGCGACGCCGATTGCTCCTCTGGCAGCGCGGTTGCGGAAGGCGGGCGTTTGTAAACCCGTAGCAGTGCGTGTGATGCTTCGCGTCTTCTTTCCTCGCGATCGATCCGCTGGAGCTGGAACTGGAGTAGCGGCTGCTTTACGCTGTGTGGCGTGGCTGCGCCTTTTCTTTGTTGTAGGCGCACGTGTTTTAGCGCGCTTAATGACCGGCGATGATTCAGGGTACCGGCTAGCTGGATTTGCGCGCGATGGTGCCGCTGACTTCTTCCTTGCCATTACCTGGTGAGCTGCGCTTGCGGCTGGCTTGCACTTTAAGCTGCATCTTGGTGCATCAAGGTGTGATGCGCTTTATGGCAGAGTTTAAAGCTGCTCGACGAATCACATTCGCTCGTCGTGTGCGTCAACGCCAGGCAATTCATGCAGTAGCCTTGTGCCTTGGCTACTACCAGTCGTTGTGGCGGCTTCATCGCCCGGAATGCGCCACACATGAGCAGAGGGTAGTATTTGTGGAAGAGTCTACATTGCAGGCAATTCTCGGTTTCTGCCATAGGGGCCAAGGGTACGGCCATTTTTGTCGCCATTTTCTGGAACGAAAAGATCAAAAAATAGTGCGGGCAGTATTAGGAGTAACTGGATGGATATATAGTTTTTCCCTGAAACAAATGGAAGTTTTGTTTTATTTTTGGTTATGCTATCCTGTGAGCTAAGGGTGCTCATTAGGAAAAAAGCACAACTTGAAAAGTGGGCGCGTGATAACCCCGTTTTGGGTACGTACATCCAATACTCGAATGTAATTATCAGGTCCACGGCGAACATCTTCAATTCGACCGAGTCGCCACTCGGTGGGTGGTAGTGGGTCTTCTTTGACTACTACCAAGTCGCCTGGCTGAGGATCTCGCTGTGGATTCTTCCACTTGTATCTCTTCTGAAGATCTTTGAGGTATTCCTCCTTCCAGCGTCGACTGAATTCGTGGTGAAGGACTTTAATCTTTTCCCATCGGTTGGTCAATGAAAGGTCTATTGCGTTTGGTTCGGGGATGGCCATAAGCGGTGCACCTCAGATAAAATGACCAGGAGTAAGTGCAGTGAGGTCAGGGGTGTCTTGCGATATACCTGATAGAGGTCTCGAGTTGAGAACTGCCTCATTTCGCACTAATAGTGTTGTAAATTCAGCTTTTAACTGCTGATTCCCATAAGCCACCCATGTGGGGTGCGCTGGGAGGAATGTAGTGCCAATTTATGCCTTGAGGAGCATATTTTTAAACTATGTCGGCAGAGCATTCGTTATGGAATTTAACGAAGTCGCGTTGTATAGCGCGATGGGCGCCAATAAACGTTTTGCCGTTGTCGCTCATAATTTTGGATGGAAATCCTCGTCGACCGACGAAACGTGAAATGGCCATGCAAAGTCTACTCCCGTTGTAGAAAATGGGAGTGTGAATGTACAACGCTCAGGGGGTAGAGCGGTCATTATTTGCGTGCGTGTCTTTTGCTTGTAAAGCGTACATGGCTTACATTGAAAAATGCACTTTTTAATCAGAGGCTTGAGCTTTGGAATGAAGAACTCTTGCCTGACCATTTGAAGCATCAAACGTGTCTCTGCGTGAAGAAGTAGTTCGTGCATAAACTTCAAATATAGTTGGCAGAACCTCGATTTAGTTGGGATGATAAAGGGGAGTCTACCGTTCACACGAAGAAGTCCATCTTTATCCAAAATGGATTCAGAACTAGTAGTGAACTCTTTTTGTTGATAGCTGTTTTAGCTCGCAAGGCATCTTTTTCGCTAGGCAAATAGCGCTTCTGAGAAATGTCGGTGATGCGCTTCTTTGCGGCTTGGCATTCACTATGTGTCAGATGCGGTAAGGTGAGTAATGGTTGCCCCTTGGACTTATTTCGGCCGTTGTCCAGGAAACGGAACATTTATGCAGTCACGCGGATCGCTCGAGAGTATGAGGAGAACCGAACTTGATGGTCGGCCTCATCCTCAAGCGCGTGATATGCTTCTATCTTACGCCTTTATGGCGGAGAAGCGCTGCGGGCCTTTGAATTTGGCCAAGAATCCGTGTGGCAGGAGAGCCACTTCGGTTCGTGCCACCAAAGTGAATTGGTAGCTAAGTCCTGCGGCTTGCAGCCGCGTGTACCAAGATCTGCGGGATTATCTCCGCTTGCAACATGACGCCATGTACCGCTTGGAACATATTCTCGGATTCGAGAGGTGCGGTTCGATACATAGGTCTTCCATGTGCATGGTGGCTTCTCGAGCCATGCCAATACGATCTCAGAATCTGACCAGAGAAATATGTTGCACGCTTGTAAACTGAGTCGTTTTTGAATGGTTGCAACCAGTTTCACTAAAAGTAATGCGCCACACAGCTCTAAGCGTGGTAAGCTTACGGTTTTACACGGTGATACCTTTCCTTTTGCAACCAGAAGAGTGGACGTTATTTCATTGTTAGCATGTATGCGGATGTAAATTGTTGCACAATATGCTTTCTCCGAAGTATCGCAAAACCCATGTATTTGGGTGTCTTGCCCCGGATCGAAATTTATCCAGCGTGGTATTTCGATTGCGCAAATGGCTGGCAGATTTTCAGCAAAGGTGTGCCATTTTGACAAAGCTGTGGGTTTAGCACATTCAATCCAATCAGTGCCGGGTCAAAAAGTTTTGCAACCGACGATAAAATTTGTCGCTTAGTGACCGCATTTGCTGAAGTAGCTGGCTGAATTGTGTAGGTAAACTTATCTGTTAGAGCGTTCCATTGGATACCCAGAGTTTTGGTTTTAGAAGCACTTTCGAATTTCAGAAAGTTTGCCGTTAATTTTTTAAGTATGAAACCAGCAGATTTTAGAGCACTGACCACTTGCAAAAGTGATTCAGAAGCACTCTCTATGTCATGACTACCGGATAAAATATCAGCGACATATTGTTGCGAAAATGCGAGGCGAATGTCAGATGAAAGAGAGAAGCCGATAACTAGTACATTCTAGAAACGATAAAACAAGAACCTTCCATAGCGAACAATTCGATGCTTCTACGCTTTCGTCTGCGAGCAGCCGACTGCTATATAAAGGCGACACTCAGCTGCAAGTCAAGNGTGACCGCATTTGCTGAAGTAGCTGGCAGAATTGTGTAGGTAAACTTATCTGTTAGAGCGTTCCATTGGATACCCAGAGTTTTGGTTTTAGAAGCACTCTCGAATTTCAGAAAGTTTGAATCGAGCAGATCCTCTTTGGGATATTGTTGCAGTATGGTTGCGTTATTTGCCGTTAATTTTTTAAGTATGAAACCAGCAGATTTTAGAGCATTGACCACTTGGAAAAGTGATTCAGAAGCACTATCTATGTCATGACTACCGGATAAAATATCATCGACATATGTTTGGTTTCGTATTATTGGTGCAGCCAGTGGATATATTGCCGCAGTATCCGTTGCAAGTTGATGCAATGTACGGATGGCAAGGTATGGTGCACAATTGACCCCAAATGTAACAGTTTTCAGGCAGTAATCGGTGACAGGAGATTCAGCCGATTTGCGAAATATGATTCGCTGAAACTGTTTATCATCGTCGTGAATCAATATCTGACGATACATTTTTTCAATATCTCCATTGAATACAAACTTGTACATGCGCCATTGAAGAATGAGCAGCATGAGGTCTGGTTGGAGAGTAGGACTAGTATGCAAAACATCATTAAGTGAATTGCCTGAGCTCGATTTTCTTGAGGCGTTAAACACTACTTGAACTTTAGTGGTCACTTTATCCGGTTTTACAACCGCATGATGTGGCAAGTAGAATGAGTGATAGTTACCACTGGAGATTATTTCACGCGGGTAGGTGAATTCCATGTGGTCGAGTCTAGATATTCTTGCAACACATTGTTGTACATTATGTTTAACTCTTCTTTTTTCTTTAGCGTGCGCTCCATACTGAAAATTTGTTGAAGCGCTGCAGACCGGGAGTTGCCTAAAGAGAGTTTTGCGGGAAAATCTTCCTTGAATGGAAGCCGCACAATATACCGACCGTTTGGGGCACGAGTCGTGGTTTACTTGTATATGTTTTCGCAAGCTTGATCCTCATTTGTAATTTGTGGAGTTGAAAGAATTTCTTCCTCTTTCCAGAATTTTCTCAATTGATCACCAAGTGTATCAGTTGAGATTTCTTCTACTTGTGTCGAGAATGACACCACTTTTTCGGTTACTGGACCGCTAAGGATCCAGCCAAATATAGTGTTTTGCGCAAGTACTGTGTCGCAAATTGTTTGTACACCTTCCACGAGAATTTGTGGGAGTATGTCACTGCCTATTACAATGTCGGTTTGAGCTGGTATATGGCAGTTTGGGTCAGCTAGTTCAAGGATTTTGAACTGTTGCCAGGTATTACGGCTTAAGGTAAAGGTTGGCAAATGTCTCGTTAGCTTTTGTAGCACGATGGCTTGGGAATTGATCCGTTGCTTGGTTTTGGATGATACCAGAGTCAAGGAACAAAGTTTGGATGAGTTTTGGACGATGTGTCCACCCATTCCAGAAATTTCGAACTTGGAATGTTCGACTGGAAGACGTAACTTTTGATGAAATGAAAGTTCCTTGTGAGCCTTGGGTCAATTAAGGCTCTGAGTTGAAACAATTCTCCTTGGTGTTCCACTGCGATAATAGCAGTTGGAAGGAGAGTTCTGCTATCGTGTCCCGCATGTAATGATTGAATGTGTGTTTGCTTAGAGCAGCACGGTTGCTTGCTTGGATTGGAGCATGTATGCGCTTGTCGAACTGGAGAAGTTGACTTGGCAGTTGGGTGTTGCACAGTAGAGTTATGAGAACTGCTGCTGGCGTTTTGAGCATTTGGTTTTGCATTTAGGTGCAACAAGGAGTGATGCCGTAACTGGCAATGTGCACATGCAAACCTGCTCGTACAATCATTACTGTGATCACTTCTTGATAAGCAGTTTTTGCAGAGTTTATTCTGCTTCGCAAAACGTATTCTCTTTGATATCGACATTTTCCTGAAATTCTGGCACTGCGTAATTGCGTGTCGGGAATTGCAACACGGACATGTGTTATCCCTGTTTTGTTCCGCCACAAATGACTGTATCCTGTTAAAGGAACTATTGTGACCGATATTTTGAGTGGCGACTGGTTTCGGTTTGTTTTGGCTTGGATGAAGCCGATTAAGATGCTCCACCACTTCGTATCTAGAAGTGAGGAAGTCATCCATTTGCGACCATGGTGGCAACTCTTTTCGAGATGCAAGAGATTGCTCCCACAAGGATAATGTGAACTCAGGTAGTTTCGAGGAGCATATATAGACTAAAATTGGATCCCAACTGTCTGTAGATACGCCTTGGGAATGTAAGGCGGACAGACAGCCATTTATTGTTGTTTGCAGTCTTTGTATTTGCTCGCTATTTTCGGTTTGTACGTTGGGCAGCGAGAGTAGGAATTTTATTTGGTTGTCCACTAGAATACGTTTGTTTTCGTATTTTGCCCGTAATGCCTCCCATGCTAGCTCGAATTATCATCGCTCAATGGGTATTGTTTGACGATTGATCCAGCTTTGCCTTCCGTTTTGTACCGGAGATGGTACAACTTTTGTGCACGGGAGAGCTTAGGGTGGTTAAAGTAGACAGCTGTGAACATATCACGAAAAGCTGGCCATTCTTCATAACCCCCATAGAATGTCTCTGTGTCGCAAGCTGGGACTTTCAGGCATATATTTGAAGAGGAAGCTTCTTCTGGAACTCGTTTCACACAAGAAGGTGGACTCGGCTGAGTAGCTGCTCGAATTAATTCGAGCTGGTCTGCTATCCTCATCTTTGTAAGTTCATATGTATCATGGCATGTGAAATATTTATTGTCTGCCGAAATTTTGAAATTTTCGGGCAGACATTCATCGGGCTTTGAACAAATCTCTTTATAGACAGTTTTGAATTCTGCCCAACACTCACCTAGTGATTTGTTTTTAATTTTTAGGTATGTTTCCGTGTGATCCTGAATAGGGGAATCACCGAATCGGGAACAGTATCTAATGACATTGTCACTTAATGAAATTAATAGTTGCGCGGAAGCATCGATCTATTTAGATCTGCGCGTTTGTGACGATTCCCTTTTAGTGCTTAGGGCTTCGAGTGAACATCCCTCTTTGTTTCGGAATCAGACATTTTGGATTCCTTAGTACCTTTGGTAGGACTATGACCAATTGGCATTTAAAAGGAAAAATGTATTTAAAAATCGCAAGACAAAACCGTGAAATTAGAATTGAATTTTTACGAATGACGGATGTTCGCACTTCGTGCTTTATTATAGAAAAAATTATGCACTTTATGCCACAGAAAAATTTAAAAAAAAATTTGTGGCTGTGTTTGTGTTTTTTGTTTTTTGTAAAATTTTTCGTTTTTTACTGTGTTGTTAAATTTAGTTTTCGAAAAAAATTATGCCGAAAAGGAATAATGTATAAAAAAAAACACTTTCACTTTTATAAAAGTGGGTTATATACGTGTATAATAAAAGTAAATGTAATAAATAATTTATATATAATTTGTAAATAAATTAAAATTATTCAATTGTCAATTATTTAATATTTATATCGAAATGATATATTTCGTTTAAAAATAGCGGACAGAACAATTAACTATTGTAAATGTAAATATGTAAATATGTATGCATGCATATTACAATCGTAAACAGATATAACAGCTGTTTGAATATACACGACTATATTTGTATATACGTATGTGTGTATATTTATGTCAGCGAATATTTTGACCTCAGCTGCTCGCGCAACGAAGAGAGCGCTAAAACAATAATATGTTGAAAAACAATATTAGCAGAATAAAGAGTACTTAGGTGCGAGTATGTGCCCAATGTTTGGGAGATAAACATACACACAATATATGTGTGCGAATATCGCACAAAGCGGAAATTGGAAAAATGCAGTGAGTAGATCACTTGCAGTAAAGTTAGCTCTTTAAAGCTGCGCTCTTTAGCAAAGTGGTGAATATTATCCACTTTATTAATTTTCTGCTATTTTTTCTTATGCTGAATTTTATGGGTCATTGACCCATGGAGAACAGCTGACAATGCAGACGATTAGAATTTGGTGTTTATGCATAAAAAGATTGCACAATACCGTAAGTAGGCCAGAAAACTGCAATTATATTTTTTGGGAATAAGTACATATGGGTATATATGTTTATATATAAGCGAAACTTATACAGTTTGGATGCTGTATTTTCGCGGCTATGTATCTAACGCCCGAGAAATTTGGCGCTTACCCCTTCTTCTAGGGTATTTAAAGAATAGAAAAAATCCAGTAAAATTACGGACTTTAAAAACCGCAAGTAAAAAAGGGAAAACTACAGATTGCAGAATTCTTTCAATTTCTGATATATATTTGAAAAAAAAAATATACATATGAATTTTAGAAATTAAAAAAGGTGCCACTTACTACCTGGTTTCCAAACCGTCTTTACCTCCCTTTTTATAAAATATGATGATATGTGTGATGTTGTGGTGTTTGTAGTGTTTCTGGTGATGTTGCCTCGCTGTGTTGCTTGTGTTGGTTGTGGCAAGTTCCTGTGTCGTGGTGTCTTCTTTGTTGATTTCCTTTTGATCATTTATTTTCCATCTTTTCGCACTTTGTTATACGCGCACTTTGGATCTCACTTTTAATATATCTATGTATATATATACATATATGTATTTTTTTGTTTTGTGTTTAACACTTTCCTTGCCACTAATTTTCTTTCAGATTCTTTTGTTATTGTTTTGTTCAATTTTTTTTTTTGTAAATATGTATGTATATGTGTAAAATAGTTTTTTTTTTAATTTATGTGTATATGTATTCTATATTTTTATTCTTTCACCACTTTATTTTTTTTAATATGTATGATAAAAAATATTTTTTTTTTTATCACTGTTTTCACAACTTCACTTTTTATGTTTATTCAACATTGATTTAGACTTTTTTTATTTTCGATCGTACTGGGGTACGTAGATTTTATATTTATGTTTTAGTAATTGTGGCTGTTCACCAAAGATTGGCTCTAGCTTAGCCTCGAAGGACCAACGAACAAGTCCACAAGGACTTGAGGGGAAGTACGGGGATGCCGGCGGTCGAGCGGCCCACAGTTTAAATAAAAGGCATTTTTTTCTTCAATTGGATTGAGTTCACAATAGGTTTTATTAAAATTCGATTTTGATGTAATTTCACAACTTGTACTTTAACTAAAACTATTGGTGGCAAATTATTAAATGTATAAACTGTAAAGAGACCGCGGCTCAAAGCTGCCGTGCGCGAGCGAATACTGTTGATTTAGAGAATTTGGCCAAAAAGGATATAGGAATTGGCGCTTGATGGGGCACACAAAAATAGTGGGAAAAGACGGGCAATTCCACGCGCACGGCAGTTACATTTATTTTTTATTTATGGTGGCTTAAGCATATAAGTATACGCTTAAACACACACTGACAGATGGCTTAGGTAAAGACAAAGGGCCTTGGAACGTTGAGTAGTTGAGGCCAATAGGACTAATAGAATACAATAGGAGAGTTCCGCTTCCTGGCCAAAAGTAAGATTCTTTCCTTCTCGTTGAGGAAGGGGTGGAGTTGTCGCGTACTGGCCACAACAAAAACATCTTTTGTGTTTGTTTGTACATTTCATGTATTTTCCTTTCACTTTAAGCGTTGACAGTGACATCTGTCGGCAAATGGTTCCTTTATTTGAAGCCATGGGTTGGTGGCACGGTTGCTTGTATGTGCCTATCCAATGGTACAAGTCTTTAAAAGAAAGTGTTCCCAAAAACGATTCCTCCACAAACAAATATTAGGGAAACGAAATACATTGCGCAGGTATTCCGTAAAAAGAGGTGTCGCCTTTTTCTTTAATGCGGCGAGGGGAAAATTATCCCAGTGTGTTTGATGTGCCATGGTGGCCTGCGCTATACAACCCCGTCCCTTTGGGTAATGGGAGCGGCATCAATTAAGTGGGCGCCAATACACACTCGCAGGAGAATTTTGAGGGCCAATGCGTAGCTTATATATACATTCTTATGTGTCTCTTATCACGCGGTTGTCCTTATTTCCGTGTATACCCAACTTCATTAGCCGAACTATCGTTTAGGCACGGTAGTTCGAACTAATAAAAATGGTATGTTTTTACTAGCAATCCACCCACCTACGTGCTCGCACTGCGTCTTTTATCGCGGGATAGCACAATCGGCATATCTAACTATCACTAGACTCAATGCAAATTAAACATGGTCCTTTGAAGCCCTATATGTAAAAAAAATACTTACCACAACCGTGCATCATCCCCATGCGTTCGTTCTAAGAAACCAATGTAAAATATTAAAAAAAAAAACATAAAGAAAAAAAAAATTGGAAAACAATACATACATATATACAACTATGGACAACGGTTAAGCGAATTAATTCAATGTGGGAAGAAATGCTCAGTAATATTATATTTAGTGAGAGTAAAGCCGTTATGCTGTAAAAAACTTATTCATTAACTCATTAGACTCTGAAA